GTATTTTTACTGACGAGGCGATGGTCCTTCGTGTCTGCTGCTCGATTTTCCTTTGGGATGGAGCTCAAGACTTCTCTGCTGTTCGAAGTAAACTTGGGCAGCCGAAAGCCACCCCTTTGACATTGGGACTTGGTGTTCTTGATCAACTCTTTGGCTTGTTCAAAGGATTGTACTGACTTCAGTCCATCGTCCACGTAGAAATTTCTTCGGATGAAGTCTGCCACTAGGCTGTTGCAGGTTTTTTCGTACTGGTCCGCGGTGGTTTTAAGGGCAAAGGTGGCACATCTCGGCGATGAGGTGGCGCCAAATGAGTGGACAGTCATACAGAATTCTACAGGGTCTCCCTTCAGCTCTGGATTATCCCACCACAGGAACCTCAGGAGATTGCGATGTTCTACGTCGATCTTAACTTGGTGAAACATGCTTAGATGTCGCACATAAAGGCTATCCGCTCTTGCCGAAATCTGCACAGAACTCCGGTGAGATTGTTTGTCAGATCTGGGCCCTGGAATAGTTGTTGATTCAGAGATTGGCCATCGCATAGTGCACTGCAGTCAAACTCTGATCTTTCCCGGTTTCTTCTTATGATACACTCCGTGATGTGGAATGTACCACACTTGTTTGCTAGCTGTCGATATCTCATCGAGGAGAACTCTTTGTGCACAACCATTACATATGATGTCCTCCATGAAGCTGCAATAGTCCTTTCTGAACTGGTCTTCACTGGACAGCCTTCGTCTCAACTTCGTAAGGCGACTTAGGGCTATTTCCTTGTCATTTGGCAGCTCCAAATTTTCATTTCACAAAGGCAGTGGTATCTCGTAATGGTCGTATAACAATTGATGGATTCCTTCGCGCACTATTCTCAGAAAGCTTCGGTCGTCGTCGGACAGGGGTTTTTTGTCGGCTTGACGTTCGTTGAAGTCGAGAGTAAACATCTTGGACACATTGCTAGGGCTGATCATTTCTTTAACTTGTGTTCTGAATGCGAAGTGGCACATCTTTCTGTTTGGCGTTGCTTCAACTTCACAGATAACGATGCGGTTACATGCAACGTCAATCTCGATTTCAGAATCTTCTTCCTTCGAAGATCTTGTAGCACCGATGATTCCCCATCCAAGGGCTATTCTCTTAGCGTATGGATCATCTCCCTTTCCTGGAATTACATCCAGCGGCTTAACTGCTCGAGAAAAGTTGAGGCCAATCAGAGGTCCGACTCTCAGGTCTTCATTTAAGGGCAAGATCATCTCTGAAATCTTCTGAAGATGAGGCCAGATCATAGCAGATTCAGGTCTTCGGATCTGACTCTTCCTAGCTGGTATAGAAGATCTTGAATAGCTTTTGGGCAGACGAATTTCTACATCTTGGTTACAGCCATGTACAACTAGGCCTTCGATCCTCCGGCTTTTGATAATCTTCTCTGCAAGGACTGTTGATAGCTTCAGTTCGACTTCGGGTCCGTTCACGCCTAATTCTCTTAGAAGATTTTCCTTCACAAAACAAGCATCAGATTGCTCGTCCAAAAGGGCATTGGTAAGCAACGTCTTGCTGATATCTTTTCTGTGATGTATCCATACGAGAACTATTAGGGAAAGCATGTAGGATGGATTTACATTCTTCAAATCGGAAAGGTTAACGCGGTGCGAGGTTGCCTCTGGGGTATTTCTTGGATGACTTCTTCGCTCGGTTTCAATGGGAACAGGATCGCTGTGAAGGGACGTTGGCTGGAAGCCATTGCAGGTTTTCCAAACTAGTCTTCTTCTACAAACTCTTTTCATGTGTTTCCACCTGAGACAGCCTATACATAGTGTATTCGTCTTTATCAAATCTCTTCTTTCGGCCAAAGACTTCTTAAGGAACTGCTTGCACATATCCAAGTCATGAGGTGCCTTACACAGTGGGCAAAGGGTAGCTTCAGACTTCTTTTCCTTCCTGCTGTGAGTATTGCTGTTAGCTACTTCATGGGAATCGGTCGCAAAGGTGCTGAACCTTGGGGTTTTCTAATATTAAAACCCTTTGGCTTCCATCCTTTGTCAAAATTGTCACTAGCGACTTCTTCCCTCTGAGGTCTTACCGCTGTTACAGGATTGTAGGCAATTCTAGACTCCCTTTGAAGGAAGCTGCAGAACGCAGAGAACGGGGGATAGCCCATTTGAACTCTAGCTACATTGGATGAGGCCCTTCCGCTTCTTCATCCTCGTTCAACCAGCGGTCTACTTCTCGACTCCAACGATCGATAAGATAGCGGGGGAGTTTGCGGAGTTTCATCCGGATCGTCCAGAACATTAAGGTATTTCATAGTGCTCGTAGCCTTCTGGCAGTAAGTAAGGACATCTGAGAGCTTTCGTAGACTCGTTCCATCGTCAGGAGGAATCTTGGGCCATTCGTTGATTTTCTCCCTGCAAGCATCTGCAACGAGAAAGGGGTTACCAAATCAGTCCGATAGGATCTTCCTCGCCTTCTTGTATGCGTCCTCAGTCTCCAATAGCAGTGGGCCACTGACCGCTTCTTTAGGCTCACCTGCCGTGTACTTTCCTAGGTAGTACAATCTTTGTAACACTTCATCTGTCTGCCCTTCTATAATGGTCTCGAAGGACTTCAGCCATACTGGGTAGTGTAACAAGTCGCCGCTAAAGATCTCCGGTTCGGGAAGCGGAAGAGTATCTTGCAGTCGTCGTTGAGACAAGACGTTGGCTAATCTGCTTAGCGAATCTTTAACCGTTAACTTGTCAGGTGAGTTGCTCGTCTGTCTAACTTCTTTGCCTTGCCTCGGTTGTTGGTGTTCGTACGGCTCGTAATGTGCAGGATGGATCGTACCTTGCAAATGGACTGATTTCAAATTCGGGTGCAAACGGATTTAGTGACTTGGGGTTAGGGATCACCGGATTCTATTTGGGAGAGCTAATTGCCTTGTCGGCGGAATTAATTTTTGAGGGAGTAGCTGCGGGCGCCTTCTTTACTACAGGAATACCATTGTTACTGGAAGTTTCTCTTAAATGGTTGTCCATAGATCCTATGTTCGTCTCTACAGTCGAATTGCCGGCATTTACAACCGACGACGCCTGTGTTTTCAAGTAATTTTGAAGGACGTAGCTTTTGTCGATTTCTTCCGGTAAATCTCCTTTCGCAACGAAAACTTCTTTTTCGTCTTCTTCGGTTTTTAATTACGGCCTTGCGAGTGTCAATTCTTTGGTGAGTTTGAACCTCCTTAACTCATCTTCATTTTCTTTCAGAGCGCTAATTTTTCGCGCCTCGGCGTCGGCAAATTCCAGTTCAGTTTTAAGCCTTGCGACATTGGCTACGATAGCGGTCCTTTTTACCACCGAAGAGGCGGCTGATGATCCGTTTGATCTTCGACTTCTAGACTCTTAACTAAAGCGCTTAGAAATGCGCGATTTTTCGCTTCCAATTTCTTGTGTGATTTCAGATATCCTGTCATTTACTTCTCTTAGTGTGTCAGAATGTTTGCGTTCAAGGGACTAAAATTTCATCAATGCTTCTTTCTTCGCATCGTAATTTCCTTCCAGCAAGTCGTGCAACTTTTTGCCATCTTTGTCTCCAGAAACGTTCTTTCGCTCTTTAAGAGATTTAAATTTGTCGAATCCGCGATGAGATTTATTATTTTGTTCAGCTGTTTTCTCCACGATCGCTGAGCGGACGACCTTTGGTCCTCGAGTAATTGTAGATGGTAATTTTTTCCCTTTTCGGTAAGGTTTCGAATTCTACCCGTTTCTGTTCCTGTAGAGTCTTCGGAATCTGACATCTTAATTCGCTGTGTTAGAACAAGCGTCTTTATCCAATGGATCGTTCAGTTTCTTTCGAAAGAGTTTCTACTGTAATGGGGCGGACGCTGACATAAATCAAATCAAACTTGAACAACGCCGCATTGGGGAAATGTCTTATATTAACGGAACCTCCAAGCGTCTATCAATCTCAACTGGTTTATTAATCACTGGAAAGCTCGTAAAAACTAAAATACAATAAATTAAAATAGGTTATTATCATACAATAAACGCTAATCGAAATGTCCTAAACTCGAACACGCGGGGCGTGTGTGTAGATTAATCAAAACAATACAAATATCTTAAGCGCAACAAAACTACCTTGATTACACACGTTTCGGTTTATAAATACAAAGATAAATAAGATGAAATACCTCTTTCCCCGTTCTATTATCCTCGTATCTCGACAATCCTTCGGTCTGGCTATGCTTGCGACTAACACGTGTCTCGTGGCCGAATGAAACCTAATGCCGACAATTCGAGGGTATGTCACACAAAACAAAACAAAAGGGTATTGAACGTCACGCAAATCAAAACTAAAAATAGCTTTCGTTAATCTTTACCAATTTACTGCATACTTTTATATGCAGAGGTATAGCAAAGATCGCTATATGCAACTGAAACTAGGAGATATTTCCACGATTAAAATCAAGAACCATGCATAATGTTTTGCTGCCAAAAACATTGGGGGAGTCATTTATGGTGTCAAATTGTTATTGAGTATTCACACTTTGGTGGGTTAAGAAATTATTTGTTAAAGCAGCTGAAACTGTGGGTGTCATTTATGGTGACTCATTATAATGGGCTATTCACACTTTGGTGGGCTAAAGTTCCCCTGAGAAAAAATTTTTAAAAAAACGTTTTTGTAAATAGCTCCCGTGGGTCTTAATATTAATTTCTACAATTATTTCTTGGAAACTGCAGTTAAAATAATAATGCTAAGCCTTAGTTTTAGCTGAGAAAAGAATTCAGAAATTTTTAGTAGCCTTTTAAAGGTCCACGAAATTTGTTACGGCAGATATGTTAAAACACTTGTAATAGATTATAATCCAGGGACTGTTCTTGTATTATTTGCACAATCATAACACGTGTGAATTTCATTTGCATGTGCAAGGTTTATGAAGAACATTTAAAAATCATGTATTATCACTTTTGGGTGTTGTTTATACGTCTACATGCCATTCAGTTATCCTTGAAGTTTACTTCTGATTGCTCATAGTTCCATTAAGTATCACTGGGATAAGAGGTGAACCAACTGTTCTTGAAGGCAACAACTTGCAGTTAACCTGTGAAGCATTGAGTCGACTAAAACCAAACATCACCTGGACAAAAAAGAAGCCTGGGAACCAAGGATGTACTGGTGTGGTGCAAGAAGGAAAGGTGCTGACTGTAACAAATATCAAGAGGACTGATGCAGGACAATTTACTTGTACAGCATACAATGGCTTTGGTAAACCAGAGAACCGAACAGTTTATGTGAATGTTACTTGTGAGTATGAATTTAAAAAAATTGACTATGTTAAAAGGAGATGTACTTCCCATACATTTAACTGTATTGTAATGTACCGTGCTGGCAATTACTTGAATTGATGTTCGGTTAGGTACATCCATGCAGGGCTCCAAGCTCAATTTTTCAAAAAAATGGCCTTTTCACGACCTCCAATTGTAAAATGGTTGCTATGAAACAAACTAACAGAAAAAACTCACATCGAGGAGTCAACTATTTCGTGTTGCACTACGTTGCAACATTTCATTTCTGATAACAGAACAACGTATGCATTTAAATGGAAAGTTTTAGATTAATATGGTAAAGTTGATGATTAAGTGTAGATTTCACCCATTGAATGTGGATAGCCTCTTTGAGTTCAAGTTGAAAAGTTGTGGAAGCCCAATCTAAGATGTTAAAACACTAATCAGACAAAGAGTGTGACAACTTGTGCAGAATTATGTAGATGTCTGAAAATGTGAGACATCCTATCACTGATTTGTTTTGTCCAATCAGTTTTGTTACACACTTTAAATCCAACTTTGTACTTTGTATTATTCAGCACTAAAGATTACAGAAGAACTGTCGAGACATGTTTTTAAGACGTGTCATTCATTTTCTTAAATTCGTTACATATCTGCTTCTATCTAGACAATTAGAAATACCATCCAAAACGTTTGGAATAAAAACGCTGATGAAAACATATTTATGTTTTCATTGCTTGGAAAATGTAAGTAGTCAGCTATTGTATAGAGCTCTTTCCAGAGTTGTATCCATGGTAAGAAAGCGCTTCCTATTTCATTATGATATCATACTGTACGTTATACATATGTTGGATGTGTCAGACACATTAACTAAAGGATAATTCATTGATAATTCGTCCAAGGATCAATAAATTTTTCACGTTTTTCCCTTTTATGTTTTCATATGTTGGTTGCCAATTAGCAATTTTGGTTGAAATTTTAGTCACCATTGGGACCAAAATTATGTAACTTGAAGCACTGCCATGTTGTGGGAGGTGTTCACTCTCCGCTGCAAATGTTAACTCCTCTTAAATTAAGATTAGATGTTGTGTTAGGAGACTCTAGTGCTCCACTATCTGTGTCAGCAAATATGTTCAGTTGACACTGATTTGAAAATCTTTAACAATCCAGTTCAACATTTCAAAGTTTTGAGATATCACCTCAATGGTTTTCTGAGCGTCTACCCGAAAAAGCTTTGTGTTTAATTGTTGGACACTATTAAACTTTCATTACCATACAGTTATTTATTTAACATGCATCTATGAATGGCAAGAGGATCACCCAGTTAACATTCAGCCGATTTGGCAATTTCACTGAAGCTACAAAACACAAACTAGGAGAACGTTTTGCAAACCCATGTAAGTGAATCCAACTAAGAAACATCAAACTAGAATTAAAGAATATCTTCTTGTATATAAGTGTACTGGTATGGTTGGACCCCTTACAATAGCTATTGAAGACAAGTCACTCAGAAGTATCCTTGTGTGGACGCTGTTTTTTAAATCTGATTTTTAAATTGTCCAATTTGATGTACAGATCCACCAAAGATTGTTAATTTTCAACCTGAGTATTTTGTTGGTGTACAACAAAGTTTAACTCTTAACTGTGGAGCAGATGGGAACCCTCCACCTACTTACACTTGGACTCCATGTAATTACCCAGAACAAGTTTGTGACAAAAATGCTCTTGATATTTCACAAGTCCTCGATGATACCAGCTATACCTGTAGAGTGGCCAGTGTATTTGGAGATGATTCAAAAACTGCCAATATTTGTAAGTCACATATACATTGTAGTAGTCATTTATCTAACAGCTGTATCTTCATACATGTGCCAAAATGACATTTTGATTGGGTTCTAAGAATTGAACCAGTGATTAGCCTGTCAGGTTATAAAAGCCCAAACAGTGCCTTTACTTTGTGTTGATGTATAACTCTCTAAAACATTGATTAATTTTATTACTTGTAAAATGCAAAGAAAGCGTTGCAGTAATTCAACTTCAGGTAGCTTGTACAGGGGTGAGTATCAAAAGTAGGGAAAAAACTATAGTCAGGGTTTCTGACAGGATACAGGAAAAATTGTAATTGAGTGGGATGTTTTTTTTGGGAAAATGGAGATGATGATTTAGTTCTTTCATTTTTAGTCATTGTAAGCTGAAGCACTCAGGACCTATACATATATACTACAGTGTACATCGATTTTATAATGTTTTCATTGAAGCAAGATAAGTTAAATGGCACCTTACTGCCTCTCTATATTTTCCTCAAATTAATGTCATGCACTTGAATTTGAAAGGAAAAGGCCAGTTTGATATGAGCAACTGACTTTTACCCTGCATTGTTTTGCTTCAGTATAAAAACATTTTAAACATTTTTGCCAGACTGTTTCCCTTGCTCATGCTCAAAAGGACAACAGCAAAATTTGTCATTTGACAAGCAATCAACACAATCCATTGATGAAAAATATGGTGAGAAGTTGACCGGTGCCTAGAGTCATCTAAGAAATGGCAGAATCCCCAGTTGTTCTTGTTACAAGCCACTTACTGAAAGCGACAGACATCTCAATCATCTCTGAGGTTAAATGACCTTAGAACGGTACCAAAGTTTTCAAAAAACCATGGTTTTCAGACATAGTACCTGTATTAATGAAAGATTGTGTAAATCTTTTAGTAATGATTCTTCTTGTACTTCACAGACATTGGAGGAAATGTGATTAACATAACTATTGTCATCACAAGTGAAACATGTATAGATGGAAAATACAATCAACCCTTCTTACTGGAGAAATTTAAAGAACTGGTAACTTAATGCACATACAACTTAGACATTGCTGTCAAAGCTAAACATTATAATCGTTTACATTGGAGGTATTTTTTTCTCACAAATAAACTGTGAGCCTGTGTTGGACTTCACTAGATCTGTCAAATTGTTAATTATAGTTGTCACTGAGTGTTGGTTATTTCAGGGTCAGAGACTGATGTGCTGGCTGTATAATGATTAAAAGGAAATTTGGCTCATGGAGAATGTGTGGAGAAAAGTTCATTTAATTCTACAGTGTTTCTTGGATTCCTAGATTGTACGCAGTCTGTCAGAGTTCTGTCAAATCTTGAAGTTTAGAGGCCTGCCACAATCTTCTTATTATTCAGTGTTTGCTTATGGTCTGTATTTATAGGGCAATTATAAATAGGCCTGGTGCTTTCTTTTCAAATTTATAAAATAAGAGGCAAGTGACATATAAAGAAGGACAATTATTTATTGAAGTAGCACTTTAAAGAAACAACTGATAAATACTCAAGAGACTGACTCTCAGCTGACTTTTGGCTAAACAGCCATGTTTAGCCATTTGGTGTCATCTTCATTTGTTCTTATGGGTATGTGTGCATGATACATGTACACTACACTAACATTCTAAGACAAATGATTGAAATGTTTGCAGCTCAAGGAGGCTTTTGCTGGTAAACCTGGCTACGAAGGAGTGCAGTTGATAAGTGTGAGGTATGCGAATTAACGAGATATAGAAATTTTATTATTTTCTCTTTTGTCATCTGTTTTCCATTTCATGTCACTCTAACCCTCTGTCAATGTCTGTCCTTAGGTGTGGAAGTATTTTTGTTGACCTTGCACTAAAATTCAACTTCACTACAAAGGAACAAGATGTTATCATAACACTTAATAACGCTGTGAAAGATGGGAAGCTGGGAGAGTTCAGTGTTGGTGCCATAAAAGAGAAAAAAACTGATGTGGAACCAACAGGTGGAGGTGCCACATCACCACTTGACAGGTCCTTTGGGGGTAAGTCCTCATAACACTTCTTACAAAAGTTTTGCAAATTGATTTATTAATGTCCTTGCCCCTCTTAACTTGGCTGTTTGTGGTGTGAAAAAAAATAGTTTTGAAAGATACTGTATTTAACTCCAAATTGGTACTGTAGCAGATTTATACAGAGATTCGAAAACTTGGTGTATGGTAATGACAACTATGATAACCACAACCAGCCCCAATTTGAGCACTAATAGGACAGTGTATGTATCATGTGTGCGCACTTTTGTTGTACATTTTGTCAAGTTAACTTTTGATTTCAATGCAAACATGTAAGAAATGGTGAGTTTGTTTCCCAATATCTTAGCTTTTTATTTACCTAAATTCACTTTTGTTCCGTAGTTTTAGAACATGCAGGGTTCATTTACATTTTTTTTCTGAGATAGTTTATAGGAAAAAATAACGTGTGGCCAAAAAAATAACAGCCATGCTTGTTTTCCTCAAATTAATCGAGTGTATTTTTTTGTAGAATCTTCAGAGCTTTCAAGTGGGGTGAAAACTGGTAAAGCATTCTTGTTGTTAATAGTGAAAGATTATAATCATGGTTTTCTTTTTTTTTGTGTCATTTTGTCCATACAACTAACCCTAGCCAGGGAAAAAAGTGAGATCTGATTGTGCTCGATTTTTATGTACAAATTTGTGGATTGAGGAGTGGGTACCTCCATCTTGTTTTTGCCATGAATAACCGATGGGAAGTTGTGGTTTAAAAGCTTGTACAGAGGGGGGAATATTCAATATAACTTATCTGGTAATTCGTTTGACCTTGCACAGAATTTGTATCCCATATCTTTTTCTAGACAAGTACATAATTATGCATTGCAGCCTGTTATTTAGTTCCGATATATGTAATGAATTGTGAAACACAAAATTGCAGGAAGAAGATAAATTGAGTTCTGACTAAATTTCAAAGGTTACCTGACAATAATACAGAGGCAGATCCGCGATGATAAGATCATTGGAAAAAATTATCTGAAGCTTATCACACTTTTTAATTGCCATAGGTATTATTGTTGGTGCAGTGTTTGGATCAGTTGCTGCACTGGCTGTTGCTGGAATATTAGTTTGGTGGACTTGCAGGAAAAAGAGGCGCAACACGAAAAGCACTGAAGGTAAGTGTTGCATACATGTTATGCTCTCAAATGAACACTCGTTTTGGCATCCTAGAAATATATCTTTCACATTTTTCCTTTCTTCTAGGACTAAGTACAATCTTCAGTTCACTATCCGCTGCATAATGATCTTTGCTTAAGCGATTTCTATATCTTTAACAGATAACTTTAAAAACAGTGTATTGTAAACTAGTGTTTTGTTTTGTTGTTATCTATTGTGTGGTTAGCTGGTTATAGTTAAAAGACCTCGCATGTCGTTGTACACTTAAGGACTCACCTTGATGTACATCAAACAGACTTTTCTTTGCTTGCAAGAGAGAAAGTTTGCTTGATGTCGATTAGTTATTGTTGTTGTTGTTGTTTTTTGCGGTTTCCTTTTTATTTTTCGCTCCTTTTTTCTTTACAGAGGTGGCAATGAGCGAAAGGTGAGATTTTTCTATAGAAATGTTGCTGTCTACTTGCATCTTTCCTTTATGGCTTGATCGTTTTAACAATTTTAACACCCACACTTTTTTTCCTGTGAATGTTTGTGATTGTTCCAATTACCACTAACTTTAAGGCACTCTAGCGCTGCAGGGATACCACTATACAGTTTGGTTGTCACTTGTACATTAACCAACATCTCAGTGATCTGTAGAAAAACTTAAGAAAAACAAGAACAGCAACAACTTATAAGTGAAGTACGTTTATTATGTTATTCTCGGTATATATGAGAAGCTCAGGGCAAGTCTACATACTCTGCTCGTTTGGTCTGACTGTAGGCGAGCCTATATCTGGTTTCCAGCATCTTTTCTAATTGGACTAAGCTGTCAGGAAAGTTTTTCTGTTATTTGGATTTTTCATTTACAGAGAATTAGGTGTGTTTTGTGACATATTTGATTTGCTGTTTCAGAACATTCGGAAATATAAGTAATGAAACAAGAGGAAGTACAGAAGTACATGTAGGTTACAAAATTAAATCTTATGCCTTCATATAAAGATACATTTTCCTGTAGTCCTAGGTGTGTTTTGTTTTTACGTTGCTCTCTTCACTGAGAGTCTTCCCAATGTGGTTAACAGTTTACCTGAACTCAGACAGTTATTATCAATACAGGTTTTAAGTCGATTAGTCATTGGTATTTTCCAATAAGTCTAAGTAAACAGTGGTTTATTTTTCATAAGACAGCTGGTTTGAAGATTTGAAATAATTTCCAAGCAATTTTGGTAGTTTATCATCTTTCATTGAATTGAAAACAGCTTTTTCTTTGAGATTGCAGTTGAATTGCCCAAACCTTCTCAAAGCCATTACATGGCACTGGATGACAGAACTCTTTCACCAGTGATGACAGATGCCAGTCCACTCAGCACCGAACAAATCAGCGAGTACGCTTCTCTTAATCTATACACACGCTCCTGGGAGACTCCTAGGGAACATGTGACGATAAAGCACATCGTTGGGAAAGGTGCTTTTGGCCAGGTTGCCAAGGCAACAGTCATAAACCAACAAGAAAGAGCCAAGAAGACGCTCGTAGCAGTTAAAATGTTGAAAGGTACCAAGAAATAAAGTTATGTTTTACTTGGTCTTTGAACTAACCGAGAAGTCTGTCCAAATTGTTCGGTTTTCTTTCATATTGTTTTATTTTAATTTTAATTATATGCTTCTGCAGAATTTTCACGTTCCTGTTAAGAGTAATCTTATTCTACATGACTAGGCCACAGTTATGTCCATAGCCCGAAGCTTGTTCTACTTGATACAGCGATGGAATTTTAAGATGTAGTGTAAATATTTCCCCTTTAAATCATGATTACTTTTTAGAGCCTTGGCGCTTTACCTTGACGAAGAAAAGCACCTTTTAATATGATGCATGGTAGAGTCGAATGATATCGATTTATCTACCTGTATATCTATCTATCCTTCTATCTATCTATCTGTCTGTCTGTCTCCCTGTCTGTCCATCTATCTATGTATCTATCTATCTATATATATATATATATATATATATATATATATATATATATATACATTTATGTATCTAATGATCTATCTGTTTACGTTTACCTATATAATGTTACAATTGAATGATATGATTGTGGTTCATTTGTAATGTTATTCGACGATGATTGACCGAAAATCTTGTTGCAGAAAATGCTTCTGAGGCAGAGAGAAAGGATTTGCTGTCTGAACTTGAATTGATGAAACAACTTAAACCTCATCCTTACATTATCAAACTCCTGGGATGCGTCACCAAGTCTGGTAAATACTGAAATGTTTATTATCAACTATGGCTACCGTCAGACAAAATTAAGTTTTAAAGTATAGAAAGGTTCGTTTTCCTCGGTATTTTTTGTGTTTTAGCTTAAGATAACTTTCCTCTTAATCTATAGAGTATACCGTAATGATTCGATTTGACGCCCGGGGCGCTTATTTACTTTTTGGTAGGCGAGGGGATAGTGCTTATTTGAAACAAGGCGGTAATCAGGGCAGAGCGCGTACTGTTTTTTTTTTAAGAACCAGCAGAACGTGCGAAACAAAGCTTTGATGTTCATTTGAAAAGCGCGGCTCTCTCAGTCTAAGCTAAAGTAATTGTCTTGAAATCAAAACGTAGAATGTCCCTCGTAGGATACTTTATTTATTCGATTGATCCCTGCGGCGTTTACTACATTTTTATTGTTTTTGAGGAGGCCTTTGTTGACGAGTACAGTCCATTTAATTCGCCCGATCATTCCATTAGCCATTATATTGTTTTTGTTGACTTTTGGGAAAGGCGACTAACCGACGCTGAAAGCTTGGGCATATTTTATTCTTGCGCGTACGCGCACGCACGAGTGAGGTCTGGATAGAGTTTGTTTGACAGCAAAGAAGTAGACAGAGTTTTATACTGTCTGCTAAATAGCAGCGTATGCATTATCAATAAGTGAGATCTAAGATCAGCAAAATTTACTGGTGGACTGCACCTGCGGCATTTAATTGATATTTGCGAAACTTTATTGTCTACCTAGAGCCACTTTTTGTGCTGATCGAATATGTTCCTTTTGGAGATCTGCTGGGTTACCTGAGAAAGAGCCGTGGATTGAATGATACTTACTTCAAAGACCCGGATATCAAACCACAGACAAATCTGACCTCACAACAGCTGATTAAGTTTGCTTGGCAAATCGCTGATGGAATGTCCTATTTGTCATCGATACCGGTGAGTGATGAAATTATTCTCTGAATGACGTCCCTATAGAACAAGAACTCATTTATCATTCATTATACTTCGCTTTCCATTGCACCGTGGACAAACTACCTAGGACGTCATCCCATGCCAGCTGAGTCACCCTTAAGTCTCTCGTTTCTTTAAAGGGTGTTTTCCAAAAGAAACTTTTTCTCTTTGTGTAAGGTTATTCATAGAGATCTTGCAGCTCGTAACGTGTTGGTTGGAGAGGGGGAAACATGTAAAGTGACGGACTTTGGAATGGCCAGAGATGTGCAGGAGGACAATGTTTACGAAAGAAAAACCAGGGTACGAAGACATAATGTTCTTGTAAGCCTTGTATTATATGGCTGAAGATGCCTCACTGGAGTGACTGCTTAAAGAAAACAAGCTCAGTAAATCTTGTTCCGTTTTCCGGAACTTTCGTTACAGTGTTGTTACCAATTGGGAGCATTAGTACTTTTAAGGACAACGCCAACTCCTTGCATTTTTGCTTCTTATTCAGGGGCGTCTCCCTGTAAAATGGACTGCCATTGAGGCGTTGCTTTACGGAAAATATTCTACCAAGAGTGATGTGTGAGTACAAGGAAGATATGAACACTGCACTAAGCTTAATTAAAAAGGTCTTATATGAACTGTTTTCAGGTCTGCAAAAAGTTATTCGGTTACTTTTGTATTTTGGTCTTTTTATTTTGCTGGTGTGAGGTCATCTCAGGGAGGAGTGGTTATCCTCATTTTTTATGGGTAGTGACCAGGGATCAACTCCTATGACACTGCGTATGTGTCCCTCCCCACCCCATCTCCCCTTCCTTTTATCACCAAAGATGTTTTAACTACATTTTATGTAGGGAAGAAATGTTATATCCTTAAATGTATCCCGATTGTTTTACAGGTGGAGCTACGGAGTTCTCCTTTACGAGATTTTCACGATTGGTAAGTTACTAGGCAAATTACCAGTCCAGTAATTTTAGCTTCAGCAATTGGGGGAACACGAATTCGTGAAGCAAGCAGGGTTTACCGGTCTCTTTAGAATTAGTTTTCGGTCATACCAAGCCAGTTTAGATTGCCAAAGTCGCTGGCCTAGCCGGAAAAAATTGTTAATGGAAATACATTTGTAGAGCTTTTCATTTTAGACTATATTAACATTACCTGCTCCATTCAGGTGGTTCACCGTATCCAAGGATGGATGGAAGAAAAATTGTAAACTTACTTCAAGAGGGATACAGAATGCCTAAACCACAACATGTGGATGATAAGTTGTATGATAATATCGTGTTGTTACTGTTTCATGATGGCTTTCTCGTACGTTAGTATTTGTACCGCTTTTTGTTCGAGTTGTTTGTGAGCCTTAAGATAAAACCATCTGTACTTGCTGAACCTGCATAATGAAGGTAAATGAAACAATATGTACACCATCACGAGTTGATATCTGTTGTATAAATCGTTTGTCCTTTATTATAACAAGATGGAATTTTTAGACCAAAAAGGTTTTTCACTTGGGATAGGTCGAACCGTTTCTAATTAAACTACTTTTGGACGTCCTTTTAGGTATGAGATAATGACAAAATGTTGGAAAGACGACCCTAATTTGAGACCATCTTTTGAGAAGTTGAGAAACAAACTCAAAGAAATGGAAAACCGGCACAAGGTAGAATTGAAAATTTTACAAAGAGACTCTTTGTGTTCTTTTTTTCCTTTTCAAAGTTTGATTGCTAGATCAACTAAACTTGATAACGGCGTCACCATGAAGGTTTCGAAACGTAGTTTATGGTTTCAATTTATGTCGCTTTACAGCAGTTTTTAATTCAGTTCCGAAAGTGGAAATCGAACATAAAAACTAAAACGAATCCCAGCCTGATCACAAACGTTTTTCCTTGCTTCAAGGAGGTGGCTTGATTCTACTTTGAGGTCTATTGGTTACTTTTGTTGTTAACCTTTGTTCCGATTGATAGTTGTGAATCTATCTAAAATTAATTGTGACAGCAATATACTCTCTTTCTAAGTAAAAACTAAAAAGGTAAAAAAAAGGAGAAATCCTCGACAGCCTAACAGAGTACAGTATAATTTATACCCCTTTTTCATATTCTTTCATATGTCTTGTTATTTTTTACAGGGGCTGCTAAACTTAAAAAATTACGATGATCGACTTTACGTTAATGTTGACGATCTTGCCGTCTGAGCGAGTGATTTATCATACAGGAAAGGATGGATCATCTTCTATTTTCCTGATATATTTTACGTTTAGCCATATTTTTTGCTGATTAGGCAACTCTTTAAACAAGCTGTTTGACAACGAAGCGAGGCAAAGTGCAGCTTTCATATATTCTTACATATTTTTATAGTTTAAGTCTTGGAAAGACAAACGATTTTGTACTAACGAGTTTAAAAGCTGCGACCCAAATTTTCCCTCCTTAGCGTTTGAGATTTTTTTATAAGTTTTTATACAAAACATGTATTTTATTTTAAAATGTCCTACGAATCCACACGAAAAATATTCCAGTGTTGCATCTGCTGTCCCTTTAGTTATATTTTGAAATTTAGCGAATGCACCTTTTTGTCGTAAAAAAAATTTCTTCATTAATTAAGGTGGCCCGATAGAGAAAACGGTCATATTTTTTTAACCAGCGGTTTAGCCATGTTTGGATGGTGTTAAGAAAAATAAGTTTTTCGCCATAGACTGATCAATTTCATCACAAAATCTTAACTTTCATGAAACTTTCTTAACGGGTGCTATGGGTTTATAACTGCCTAGTTATTCTTAAAAATTAATGAAAAACAATTTAAAAAATCAAAGGGCTCACTCAGTTTCTATCGATATTTATCATCCCCCGACATAGTTACAGAGTACTGAGATTCTGGTTCCCTTGGAATTTTTGACAATAAAAGTCATAATAAAACGTTGTCCCTTTTAAACTGTGCACCATTTAAGTCTTGCATTTCAATGAAACATAGTTAAAACTATTTGTGCAAAGTTCAAGCGAGCATGGCATTCGACTGGGAAGTTGACAACAAACGAATTTAACAACAATTACAAGCAGACCAGCAATCTCACAAAATTTCGGTCATTCGCGCTTCACAAGAGAAATGAGAAAATATACAGAAAGCCTCACCACACTTTGTTAAATACGGCTTTAGAATGGCTTGATCCACAAGCCAAACAGAAAGTAAATTATGACATCAGCCCAGGAAGTCATAACACTGACGTATTTCCGCTTCTTGGTGCTTTCCATCTCTCAGGCTCCGCCTTAAGTATAAATGTAAACGATCACGGCAAGGCGGGGTACCTCAACTAGCTGGGGTCCCTCACCTACCTGGGGTCCCCTAACTACATGTAAACAAGCCCTTATATGAATAAATATAAATAATTTGATATTTTTTTCAGCGGCAGCCGACGAGATGGAAAGAAAGCGGAACCAGGAGGGTTAGGGTTCTTCATTCTACTCTCATTCATTACAGAATCATACGATTAAGACAGATTTTCCTTAAACTCATCAAGCTTTTAAGTAATTTAAATCGATAGGCTTCATTAAATTCCGGGCTGTTTGTAAAACCACTGGTCAATGTACCTGGTTTCGAGGTTTTCAAATTCTGATCCAATTTGGATTTTGTTAGTTCCTGCCACTCCAGATTTCTTTGCCAAAACTGCACCACGGGCAGACCCACAGTATGCGTTCGTGCTTAATAACTGTTGTTGACATGAGACGAACATAATCTGCGAGGGTTACGAACAACGCTCTGAAAATTGCATATCCACATTACATCTCTGTCTGAATACCTCAATTAAAGTTAAATGAGTTGTAAATCGACGCCATTGTGGTATTTTTCGTTCTCATGGGCCGTTTAAAGCGTCTTTTTGCGAAATTACTTTTGGCTTGTGGCCGTTAAGAGAAGAAAGAGTGACCTTGTAACCCTTCCTTGTTAAATTCCTCCAGTTCAGTTCTCGGTTCGTACTGAGTTTAGATGATTCTTATATCGACAGCAGCAGATTGCTGTGCCTTTTAGATTACTCAAAATTAGAGGAAAGCCGTTCTTGTTTTGACGAAATCGAAAACGTGAGTTGTTTCAATATAACTGCGATCTAAAAAATATTCTCCTTCAGATGGTGGAAGTGTCACATGAAATGAACCTATTCCGATTAGGACAACATCAAATCCAGCTGGAGTGCTTCCTCCTGGGATTAAACAGGTTTATGAAGGATTTCCTATCACGTTTAATTGGAACTACAGTCTGACGTCGTGTTTAAGTCTTAGTGTTATAAAATTCAACAGTAATGGCATAGCCAGCATTAGAGCAGATGGTTCAGCTGGTCTTGTTCATGCTAAATTTCAGAACCGGCTTTGTGTTAGCTCGACAACTAAAAGAGCTTCTCTGTTTAATATAGAGACGTAATACTTCTTGTCAGCATCTTAGGAAATGTGTAGAGAACAGTATGGAGGATGTGCATTCTAACTCAGCCTTGAACAACACAGCCCCGAAGTTTAAATTACTGCTCTGCTTTCCTCCTATTTCATATGTATTAAATAATCAATATCATACATTAAATTATTCAAAAGAATTTACACAGACAGTTATCAACCAGGAAAAAGTAGAAGCGCTATTTTGGCTTTTACAACCTGACAGGCGAACCTCTGGTTCAACTCTGAGAGCCTTGAAATCAAAATATCAAGTTGGTACATGTATGGAGCTACAGCTGTATAATGCATGACTACAGTATACTTTACAAACAGTGGCAGTTTTCTAACACAACATTTAATGCTTATGTCAAGGGAGGTAAGCCATTAAAACCTCTCGGCGACTGGATGTAAGCCATTATCGTCAATACCAGTAAATGATAGCACATACAAAAAAGAAAAAAATTAATGGAAAGCGCATCAGTCTGTTTAGCACTATAGTAAAAGTTTTTTCAGTGCATATATCATATACTCACAAGCAAAATTCACATAACCTGCTTGGCTATCTGGGTTTCCGAAACCACTATATGCAGCACACTTAATAATTCCTGAATCATTCCTGCTGACTTTTGTTAAAGTCGCCACCTTTCCTTCTTGCCGCACACCAGTATTTCCTTCGTTAACTGTCTTAATTCTCTTCGGCCCAGTTGATGTTTGGTTCTGATTGACCCGAAGTTTCACAGGTTAATTAAGTGCTAGTTGCTGCCTCTATGAACAGTTCGTGCACGTCTAATTCCAGTGACTATTGTTGGAACTAAGAGCAATCAAACAAACACAGCTAAACTTCAAGAACTATTTGAAGATCAGATTCAAACACCGTGTGAAAGCAAGAACACTTTTAGCGTGAGAATCTCCGTGGGCTTCCAAATAGGAAAGTTGACAAGTTTAACTTAAAAAACTGAAACAGCATTACCTGTCGCTTGGTGAGGTGAAAGTTCCTGAAGGTCACGCCTCGTTTAATTTTACTTAGATTGTACCTGTGACTTTATCTAATCCTAGGCTGAGATGACAATGATCTCAATTTTGAAATGAAGCTTTGATTTTAGATTTGGCTTAACTTCCCAAACTAAATTTTCAGTTTTGTATCAAAAAGCTCTTATAAAGAAACAAAATAACTTGTACGCACCAAAGGAACTTGTCAGACCTTACAAATGTGATAAATACTGTAACAAACAGAATAGTGTAAGTGTCAGCTACGATAATAAAAAATTACAGCCATCTTTAGGACCATTTTAACGTTTTGGAGCTCAAAAATTACAGAGCAAATGATACAGGTCTTAGCAATGTCATTGTCATTGTCATATATGTAAATGCTCATGATGTTTGGTCTTTATCATCATTTCAGAAAAACATTCACAGATATCAGAAAACTACTATTAGGAATGAGAATTGAATTCGCTATAAGAAAATAAAATTCTCCATTAGTAGATTTTTCAAATCTACAGTTTTAATAATTCAAAAGTTTTTTTTTCTGAAATAAATCCAAGAAAAAATCTTCGAACACCTTTGGTGCAAAACACAACAAACCAAACTGATTGAAATCATTGTGAACAATTTTAGGTTATCCCTATTACATATATGAGTCTGAGATACCGTTATTTCAATATAAGAGTGATCTTCGCAATAATGAACACCACTTAAGCACTAGAGAGAGTAAAGCCTGGAAAACATGCAGGCCCTATACAGGAGTTAAACCCATGACCTCTGCGATACTGGTACATTCCTCTACCAACTGAGCTACGAAGCAAACCAGTGAACTGGTCATTTTGTTGATTTGTACATGTAATAAACCCTATAAATGATTCACAGTCATTTATCTATCACATTAATTCTTAATGACAGACGGGATTTAGATAACAATGCATAACCCTTGTTCACAACGTAAATTTAAAACTTTTTTTCTACCTATTTTTACCATCTATCTGCTCATTCTGCCATTAGCATCGCGAGTGTTTAACTTGATAGAGTAATCAACCCTTCTTAAATTTGAATCTTATTTTATTATCAACTATTATTTTAAAGATTTCAAACATGCATGAGCATGAAATTTTTAGGGGCCTGGTAACAACTAGCGCATGCGCATTTAGCACGACGAGCTCACCTACCAACAAAAATTTATGCAAAGTAGGTTACGGCGGATCTGAGAGCCGCCTGGCAATTACTAACAGTAAGAGAAGAACTGAGTTCGCGTATTATCAAGTATATTTGATACTACTGCTGCTTACAATGATTAATTAATAGAACTAATGATGATGATATTTTAAACAATATAATATAATGTAGTTTATATAATATTAATAGTATTTGTCATTAATTATGGTCTAAGTTGACTTACAATTAATAATACATTAATACATAAATAATACATAAATGTTCATTCAACAAAAATCATTCATTTCACCCAAAAAGAAAATTGAAACCAAAGACAAAGCCATTATTTACAGGATGATGTAATCTCTAAATAAATAAATAAAGAAGTTCGAATACTGATTCACTTGTTATCTGACAAAGACCAGACTTGGCAAAGTTAGAAAATCACACCTACTCAAGGAACATTTGTTTCACTGTTCGTCGAGAAGTATTGCATTATTTCACGGTAGTACTTTGTGCGCCCGGGTGTGTGTGGTTCGAAGTTCGGATTCTCTCAAGTCGCCGCTGTGAAATTTTGCTTTTTTTGCTTTATTTGGTTAATTATGTCAGCCAAAAGAACTTACGCTAAAGTTGTTAC